TTAGTACTGGTTTTGTGTTTGCGTATGTGCATGTTTGTGTGTAAGTATATGAACATGTTTACTAGTGTGTGTTTATGTGGGAGTGTGCACATGCATGCGGAGCTGTATTGGTATGCGTGTGTGTGTGTGTGTGTGTGTGTGTGTGTGTGTGTGTGTGTGTGTGTGTGTGTGTGCATGCAACAGTGTAATCTGAGAATGAGTAGAGGGTTAGAAGGCCATTAACCAGTGCATTAGCCCTGACTGCAGGCTGACTGGGGAAACAGAGTGAGGAGAGGCTTGGTGTGTGTGTGTGTGTGTGTGTGTGAGCCTGGTATTACTTACATTGTGGGGACTGAAATGTATTAACACACTCACATTTTGAAGACTCTGCCTTTCTCCTGGGGACCAGGTGCTGGTCCCCGCCATGTAGGGTTTAGACAAATAGTGGTTATGGTTACAGTTAGGGTAAATCTCCAGGAAATGGATGAAAGTCAATGTAAAGCCCCCACAAGTAATTAAAACAAACATGTGTGTCTCTATCTGTGTGCATGTGGAGGATAGTTTGAGGATTTCAGAGAGAACGGGACAATGGGGCTGAGGATTTGGGAGCAAGGGTGAGGGAGATTGAATGCATGAGTGAGTGCATGTGTGTGTTAGTGTGTGTGTCAAAGCAGCTGACCCATTAAAAGCAGACAGGCTCATCCTGAACACAAGTCTGTCTGCCATAATCCCCTCCTCTTTTTATTCAAATATATCTAACATTATGATTTTGAGTTTAAAATATTAATATCTTTGCAATAAATTAAAGCTGACACAGACGAGAAGCATTAGGCCTCTGTTTCACACTGTGAAGTTCCCTAAACTAATCACAGGCCACTGATAAAATGATCATTTAAACCATCAGTTTATTTAAAGCATTAGGTTAGATTAGTTAAGAATGGGGACCAGTCGCATTTAGTTCTGCAGCTTTAATGGGATGAATGCTATAATCCCCTGCCTCTCAGGTGACACTAGTTTGTTACTATGTAAATTATCTCACAGCACACTATACCTTTACTGTATGTTGAGAGAAAAGTGAGAAGGATGAGATGGATACAAGAAGAGAAATGTAGCCTGAGGGGGACCAAAGGGAAATTTTTTTTTCACTGACAGGAAAAAAAAAAAGTCTGAGCCCTCCTATATCTCCTGTTTTTATTATTCATGAGTTAGAAGAAGCAATAGGGGGGAAGGAGGAAAGGAATTTGTAATATTTCTTCTTTTACTTGGGTGTAGTCATCTATAGGACCATCTGCAGCCTTGTCTTTAATTTTTCAGTCTCTTGCACTTTCTTTGCAGGTCTCTTCTTCTCTCATTCTTTTGTTTCTCTTTGTCCTCTTTTGCATATTTAAACTTTAATGTTTAATGCATTTATATCCTAGTGGCAGAACTGCTCTGAGAGTATTGCATCAAATGTTCCCTTTAATAGAAATGCAAAAAAAATGTGGAATCACAAACCATCCATGCATCCATTTGTTATATATCCTCATCCTATAGAGCAATGGTTCCCAGACCTTTTTCTTTGGAGACCTTGGAAAGCACACTTTCACATGTCATTATGGAGACAGTCAAGACAGCTCAATATCTTTGATTGACCCAAATAATTTTTAATTACTTTTATAAGCAGACTGTTGTTTAACCGGTAAGTGTGTTATTATGACTTTATTTATTGTATATATTACAAAAAAGAGCGATAAGTGATCACACCAATGTAGCTTTCATACAGTCTAAATTGTTAAAATTTTTCGATTTAGTGGGTATAAGACTGCAGTGTTTATGTATAAAGCCAGGAACAATTTATTACCTGGTGGAATTCAAAAACTATTTAATGAAAGGGAAGGGGGATACAATTTAAGGGGTCAGTTAAATTTAAAAATGCATGCTATACGTACAACCAAAAAAAGATTCTGTATTTCCATAAGTGGGGTAAAACTATGGAATAATTTAAGTGTAGATATAAAAAACAGTAATAGAATTGACGAGTTTAAACATAAATATAAAGGTATGTGTCAATCAAGATATATGCAAGAACAGGCTTAATGATTAATTAGATAGAACATTGTGGGTGTGGTGTATGAATGTTAACACTCTGTAATAATTCTTTAGTATATTACTTGTGTGGTGTAGAAGAGAATTATTTAAGAATGTAATTATGTAAGAATGTTAACACTGTTATATTTTTTTAGTATATTACTTGTGTGGTGTAGAAGATAATTATTTATGTAGAGATACTGCTTGCAAACCAATGATGGTAAGATGATGTCATGGGGTAGGACTGGATAAGTCTGACTTCTTCCTACTCCATTCAAGCATGTATTAGGTATAAGCAAATTGATATTGGATTAGCATTTGTTGGATATGTGTAAAATTATGTGTGTTGACATATCAACTGTCTTTACATGCTTGAAAGAATAAATCAAATCAAATTTAACATGTGCACATCTAATTTTGACAGTTTTGCAACCTCAGAGCAGACAAGCCGTTGCGTACCCCCAGTGAACTTTGGTGCCCCCTCAAGTTGGGAACCATGGTTGTAGAGGATCTTAGGGGCGCTGGAGCCTATCCCAAATGACAATGGGTGAGAGGCCAAATGAAACACTCCTGTGGACTATAAAGTTATCTGGATAAAAATAGTCTTTTTCATCTTCATAGCTTTTTCCATCTACAATCCCTGAATTAAATACATTCTCAGAAATCCTTCAACAAATGACAAAAGAACCCCAAAACAAACAAATATCAATGTCAATGATATTTATATGACCGCATAAATATTCACAGTCTTTTTCCTGGAAAGTCAGCTAGCTATCTAGCTTACAAGCTAGCTATCCACGATGTATCTAACCAGCTGAATTGTTTCTTTTTTCTAGCCTGTACGAGTGCTAGCCTTCAAACTGTCATCAATTGTTTGGCCTCTCTCCTCTTTAGTCTTTTCTTAACTAGACAAATATTTGGCTGACCATTAGATTTTCATTTGATTCCTATAAAAGTTCATTTCTTCAACATTTGTAAGAGAATTCTGTGTGCTCGACCACCTTTCTAGCCTGATTTTTTTGCCTATCAAAATAAAGCCAGAGGAAAAGGAAAGTGCTAAAAATGTGAATGCTAGCATTTTTACTACAAACTGGAAAGAATTATCATTTTGAATATCTGCCTTACTGTAACAGCCAGCTGACTTTCCCAAACTAGGACCAACTAGTTCAACTAATATGTCTGTGAAAAGGAGGTATTTTGTTTTATCTGTCATAGGCTACATTTTCAATCAATATATAAACTGCAACAATATGTAACTTAAATTAGAAAGTAGTTATTTGTGCAAGTCATCTTCGCTCACCATAATGCTTCATTGATCTCATCCACAATTGTTAGATTTTTGCCATTTTTGGTCGTTATTTTTTTTAAATGCAGCTATATTTTCTGGCTATAGCACTAAAAGATGCGGTCCACATTCTGAAAACCACCTAGCTGTCAATGAACACAACACCAGACCATACTTAAACCACTGAAAAAAAGCCCCAAAGATGTCATCAGCAATTCAGTTTGGAACCGGGCCCCTCTTAAAGTGGATTTGTTGTACTAAAAATATTTGTTGTAATAACACATGTACATGCAAAACATGTAAAAACCAACCAACACAATCAAACTGTCTAAAAATCTTCTACTTTATTCAATAAGATAAATGTTTTTGTAAAACATTCAATAAAAAAATTATCTTTAATTTATTGCTCATCATCATCTTTATACTAGGACTTGATCTGATGCATAATCACAAAGAATAAATTGCTAAATATTTGGACAAGGTTTTATGCTGTCATAGTAATAACATACATACCTATGCACATTCAGGTTATACAAAAACAAACCAAACAAGTTACTGTAGAAAAAAAAAAAAAAAAAAAAAACTGGGACAGGGAGAGTCTCACATATGTTTTGGTTTGTTTCTGGCTGATGTGTGACTGTAACAGACAGCATCTGTTGTTTTCCCAGCCATGGTGGTGGTGTAAAAATGAAGAGGTTTCAAGACAATTGAATCCAAAAATCATGAGAGAATGTAATAAAGCCTAACACTGGACAAGCTACAAATGTGATCCTTAGAACTTGCGTTTTTTGTACCGTGGTGGGCATTTTATTCCGTTTTCATGCATACATCATGAAATTATTAGTCTATATTTTAACTCAAAGCTTTAATATCATTTTGTCAACTTGTTAACATACAGTGTACTTTCCAAAACAATCACTATTAAAATTAAACAAGAAAATACAACATAATCTTCAAAATAAGAGAGGTGCATATCTCTCATTGAACAATGGGACTTCTAAAATGACTCCATTTGGAGTTCATGTTGCATATATTCTTAAGGTTTTACTGGACATTTTACGTTCACTGGCCTTCACTTCTAGTACAATGATAAAATTTCAAAGTAGCTGTTGATATTTTGCTCCCCATAAAGCATTTTAAGAAATGTGTGATTGGATGCAGTCTTTGTCTCTCAGACATGTTTTCCAAGGAGTCAGAAGTGGAATTGTAAGTGAAAGCAGTAAGAATAGTAATTCATATGTATAAATCATTTATGAGCTCACAATGAACCTTATGATTGTTCAAACAGTAAAGAATAAATTAAAGCTGCATTAACTTTGATTTAGCACAAATTTGGATAAATCAAGTAAAATATTTTATAGAAGTGTTTTCTCCCTGGTATACTAACCCCACCTCACTCTGCTATCTTCAGGCTTCAGGCCTTGTGTTTATTTCTTGCCCTCTGTTGTCACTGTTGTTAAAATCTGCACTGCACTTCTTCCACGCCCCCGCTGATCCGAGGTTATAAGAAGCATTTTTCAAACCCGTATGGCTCATTTTAACAACAGACCATGGAGGCTCCCTGTGCAGGTACAACCCAAAATGGGAGTGGACCTGTTAGACCCAAGAGGCCG